ACTGCTGATGAGACCCAACCAAGTCGAAGCAGCTGTCCAGTGGTTCCGAGCTTTTCAGTTCATGCTCAATTTGCTATATACACGACGAATTCACCTTTGAAATTTCACACTGCATTGGCCTTCCTTTTTTAGTGATCAATGAAGTTTGCTTCACTGTATTTCGCTGTACGATGGTGATGATGAACCCATGCCCTCGAGCTTGGAGTGGCAGACCACATAAGACCCCACTGGGATGGGTATGGTATCGATACCCGATCTCTGTCCGGAGGCGTCTTTCATAGCAAAGAATAATTGATTAGAACAGCTTGCTCAGTGTACAAATGTGATTCTAAAGCGTGAGTATGTTTGTCATTAAGACGAGACCGATGTGTTTTCGTAGTAGCTTTAGACACATTGGTTTGAGTCGATCGGTTTCCCGCTCATTTTTTTCAGCGTTTGTGTTTTCGGTTGACTTTTCGACGTCATCAAGTGGGAAAACATGATGCAGTAACTGTCAGCGGAGCTGAGGTCAGGTATCCGAATCTTGTGACAGACAGTGTTGTTGGACAGATAGCATGAAATAAAATCACCTTTGTTTTCCAATCTGGATATGCAATCAAGATCTCTGACAGCGAAACCTCTCATTCTTCTTATTTTATCTTCCCAGATTCTAATCATATTGACACCCTTATTTAAATTTGATTTCGTGCCGTCTATGCTGATTTCTGATGCATTCACTGGCTCATGACAAGCAGTGGATTATATACAGACACACAAGTGGCTGTACCGAAGTTGGCTCAATTGAGGCGGTTACCACTGAAACAACCAGGAACGTGTGTGTGTGGTTCGTACGCCTCTTCTTTGTTGGTTTGCAATCAGGGTTTTTAGCCAACCCCCTTTAGATGAACTGCTAGTGTTACACCGACCCGGTTTTCACCCTGGATGTTGGCTTTTGGTGGGAAAACCGCCACGTGAAAGCAGTAAGGCTTCCTCACCAGAGGCTAGTTGAGACGCTTGGGCGTATACGAGCATTTCACGAGGTGCAACAGAAGGGTGACCAACCCCAACCCGAGATACCCACCCCCGACTATACTGAGGCTTTCGGAGGCAATTGTATATCTGTCCAAAATCGGATTTGTGGCGAAATCAATCGTTTTTTTCGTGCTGGTCCACTTTAGATTGTGCACGTATATCCATTTGCGGAATCGAGAATTGTACTTTTTGGGCATTCGCTGTTCGTTACAACCTTTTCTAATGAAAATCCATGACTGAAGAGTTACACCCAGTATCTGGGAGCCATTTTCGATTCGATTATATGTACTGGTGCTTATCACTCATATGTGCATATACCTCAGACTCATCGCAACGTGTTCATGCAAGTTACTGCAGTTCATTTCTAAATAAATATTGCATCCTCGCATTTTTAGTCGCTCATGGGCTTTGGCCAGGAGTGAATTTCACTGCATCACAATCCCGACTATAATATCGAGATCTTCATGATAGGGTTCCAAAGAGATACATTTTACGTTATTTTGAGCGACAGTTTTAAGACGAAGGAAATGACAGACTTGGTTGAAACTGTGGGTTAGCATTATCCAAATAACTACAATCCAACAGTGTCACCAAGATGTTTGTGTGGGCATTGAATATTGTTATTGCTTAAGCAAATCTCAGCACTTTCGACGAGTTGGATAGAGGTACGGACAACCCACTGATGCTGTAGAATCAACAACTGGTCACCGTCCACCGAAGCTGTTTCGAAGTTGATTACGAATAACGACCGTGTGAATATATTTTGCTACACCCCAAAGGGCAAATAGTAGTTCGAATATTGCATGTGATATCCATGTACACACCTTTTCCCACTGATTACAACGGTCTTGCAGTGTCTTGGTCCTTTTTCAGGTTCAAGTTTAGGGACGAGCCATTACTGCACGGAAAGCGATTTCTACTAATCATTATAACGGTCATTAAACTAAGAATGTTGTTGTTACGTTCGTCGGCTTACTTTAAGAGTGAATTCAGTCGCTGCCAAGCTCCAGTTCTGAGGTGAGAGCATGTACGGTGTCCGCATCTCAGATGCTCTGTTAATCCGGATAAGGGTGTGATGTCTGAGTAGGGAAAGCCCGCTTGGTACCCATTGGCACGAGGTATTTGTGGCATAAACTTACCACGTCAGGTTCATAATGCCACTATTTGAACTGCACTGTGCGGTTGTATATAGTGAATTCTCCGCGTAGGGAATATTCGCCATTTATTGACCATCGTTGCCTTTGCGAAATCCCTAGTGCGATTGCAACAAAAATTAAAGGCTCGGTTAGCTCGCCAACTGAAACAACACTACTGTCAGTAGAACATGGCTGGTGCTTTGTTCAGGTAAAAGGAGTGCCGCTGAACAACTGATACAACGCATCCGATCATTTCGCTTGAGTCATCGCTGAGTGAACATTCAAACTCTGATATCACCAGTAAAATGTTTGCACTCTATTCGGTGGTATTCACTTGCAGAGCACGGTGTTCAATTGGGATGACAAGTGACCAGAACAGAGTTAGAGTAAGTATTCAGTACACAATGCACGTGTTAGGCTACTGTGGTTATTCGCCAAAGCAACCGCCATTCAAATACTTTTCCATATGACAGATGGATCACTCGCCAGTGAAGGTAGGACTAATGGGAACAAAACTAAGCAGAATCAGCGTGCAAATTGAACTTTATTGACAAACAGTTGAAATGAGGCGTTTGATCAAGAGTGAAGGAATGGAAGAATATGGGTAAGTAGGTCGGTGGCGGACGAAAAGTGTGATGCGCGCAACAATCGATCGTGGTAGGAGGAGGATTAGTGTGGGCACGTGCGCGCGCGCACACACACACATGGGGATGGAGAAAGAGGAACAAAAAAAGAAAACAAGACGCGTAACAGAAGATGAACGATTTACAAAATGAGCGCACGGGTCAAATCGTATCGTAGGGCGAATCGATTCATCGCATCACGTACGATGCACACAACAACCTGGTACAGGTGGAGAGCAAAAAAGTAAACGTTTTGTTTTTTGTTCTAGTTCAGTTGAAGAAAAATAATCCGATCCGGGTCGGACGGCCGTATATCGCGACACAGTTTGAGTGCGAGTAGGAGAGATCGCACCAACGATAGACGACAAGTGATAGATCCAGTTCTGTTGCCCAATTCTCTAGCTCATACCCATCATCATCTGTTGTTGTTCACGTTTGAGTGTGGCCATCACATCAGTGATAGAAATGTTGTACTTCTCACACACGCGACTTTGCGCCTGGACACCTTCGCGTAGCGCAATCAAGTGAGCCAAGTCGTTCAAAGTTTTTGCCTCTCGGATAGCCGCGTCGAAATGTTTCAACGCAGTCGCGAATTGGCCCCTTTCAACCGCGAGCTGTCCGAGCAATTCGTGGATTAATTCACATTTTGGATCGGCCTAAATAAGGAAATCGTTAACAAAAATCGACTGCATCAATAAGAAACTGTAAGGACAAAAAGGAAACACATTGAAGCGAATTCAAAGTTAAGTGCAATTATACCGAATAACGATAGCCACTCAAATGTACCAGTTGGTCGAGGTGCAATCGCGAAAAAGAACGCCACTTGCGAAGTGATAGAAACAAAACATGATAAACGATACCGGTTCAACAGTTATCAAACTGATCGGAGAGTTGCAACGAAAAAATTTGAAACACCCCCCTCAGTGAAAACTAGACAAGAAAACAGCAAAATAACGTCATATGCAAGATGCACTGGTCGAATATACGAAATTAGAAGAGGATATCCAGATATACGTCGGGAATTAGTTCGATCAACAGAAGCATAAGCTCTAAAATTTCTGCTAAGTTCTGAAAAGTAAGAAACAAGGGCTGATGCTGAACGAGGGCCGTATAGCGAGATACAACTAATAACATACACCGCGATAAGTCACAAAATAATCCCACATCTGGAACATTGTTTTGTCTAGTATTACTCGTATGTGGGTGACGAGACCAGCAAATAAGGAGGCGTGAAAATGATTTTGCTATGCTTCTACAGATGTAAACGCTTGATACTACAAAACCTGGAAAATTATGACCAGGGTCGCCTCTGCTCAAGAGTAGAAGTACCTGAAATAGTATAACCTGAAGGATTGTATCGGACAGTTTGGTATGGGGTGCTGATTGAACGATGTAAATGATAACGCTTTTTGACAGCGAAAAACTGGTACTGAACTATTCGTCTGATTCCGACGAAAGAGACTGCAACGTCACAAGGAGCGATCACGGTATTGGGCATTATCCGGAGCGTCCGATGTTTATTACCTTCAAGTATGCGGCACCTAACTGAATATCAAATGACTATCGATGCGAGAAACGGTGAAGTCACATTATCCAGCAAACATACAATGACATTTTTCAAATGCTCCGGAGTAGTTTTCGTCTGAGGTACAGACGATGCTGGTTTACCTTAGTCAACGGTGTTTCTCTGATATAACACAAAATGCTCCCCAACGGATAACCAGAGGATTCCCAAACTTCCAATAATTCACGACCTCCTCAAATCTTTGATTAGCCCTAGGAAAACCTACTATTTAGGATCATTCTGAATGTCAAAGTAGTTCTTCCTGCACCAAATAAATCAACAGTAACCAAGCGGAAATAGTAGCTGAGCATGAGAATCGAACATGCTCGTAAAATGGAGTGCAACACAAACTGTTCGCTGGGGGTGGTGGTTGTCAGTACACACGATGGGATTATTCATACCAAATGAGAGCAATATCTTGGATATCTAATGGACATACCTACATGGTGTATTTTTTTACACTGTATGTGAGAACCGTGTTCGAATTTACTTAGAACAAGTCAAGAGATTAATTTGGAGCAATTGCACATAACTTGTGAAACGAAAACCCAACTGGCATTGTCAATCATAGAAGCAGGTAAAAAAAGTTAGTCGTCCTGTGTGATATAGCACAAAGCGATCAGTTCCGTACAACAGATGGGTTTGCGTATGAAAGCAATCAGTTATGCTGGGGCTGATGCCTACTAATCCAGGGTGGACTGATAGCTGTTGAACGGAGGGAGCGGAAAACAATGTGATAATCAAAGAAGTAGCTTGGCGAGAAGCCTAAGACAATTTATATTTGTTTACCTTACCACATCCTAAACGAAGCATATCGTGTAGAAGGGTGGTACGAAATACTACGTTCCGGTTGATACAATAAGTGTGTTGTAATATGTTCGTTTGGGAAAACGGAATTATAAGATCAAGCTGATAACAGTAGCGTTCTTATGGTCACGTCAAGTGTTTACTCAGTAGGATCAGTAGGACCACACTCGTAATTAACACAGTGAAACCCTTTCGAGGTAGCAGTCATGTAAAAGCACCATTCCTAGAAGCAAGAATTTATTATTCTAGTAACTTTAAATAAGGTAACCTTGCCAAAAGCACCAATGGATAGCACAAAATACGTCAACGTGATCAATTCTGTTGGAGACAAACCAGGTAGAGTACACAGAAAAAGGTTTGTTCGCCGTGCGCGCACATGCCGGGAGCAGGCGAGATGGTAAGCAACCGAAGCTGGACTCAAAACATGTTTAAAGAAAAATTATAAATCAGGCAGTTACAGATCAATCAGAAGCATAGACATGTACCGATCACCACCGAGATGATAATTAAAGTGGTTCATTTCTGTGACGTTGGCATGCCCTTTCGTTAGAGATATGGGATCCCATGGTGCACACACACACACGATAGCATATCGTCCTATGACCTATTTATGTGCGCTGTATCACAGTAATGTGCTTGGTCGTAAAAGGTGAAGGACAAAACTCTTGCAGCGAAAGATGCATTATTGGGGGAACCCGAAGACGGTGTGAGCCAGCATCTCCTCGCAGTAAAGTATGAAGTCAACAGGACTTTTTGGTCCACTACATCAATTGAAAGAAAAACAGGATTATGGAAGCAGAGGAGAACAGTCTTGAAAACGGTTGCTCATAGCAGTGCAATCACAGCAACTGACTACGAAATAATATGGTGCTGATTTCTGCTAGAGCAACAGATGAACAATCTTGTCTCAGATCTAATTTTGAAAAACATAATCGAAGTGTACGTAAAGGACATCAATGCAAAAAAAAGAGGTTATAACATTTAAGATGGTCGATGCGGGAGGGAGGCAACAGCCCTGGATCAGGTGAGTACACAAGATCGGATTTCAAGGATTAGGCAGATGGTGACGACCATTGTGTAACATGAACAGGAACGTCGAAATTACAATAAAAACGTAAAAACCCCACACTTAATGCCGTGTGTGTTCGCTATTCAAAGGAAGCAGAGAGAGAGATTATCACGTTATCAAGGTCTGACTGCATGTGTAATGTGTGTGACCATAAGAGCACGATGTCGTAAACACCGAATTTTATGCCGGGTATACAGTCGATAGAACTATCTATCGGTAGGTAAGTGGCAGATGAATACTTCAATAATAGTGACAACAAATCAAACCCCTATTAGGGAGTCATTTTTCCGTCCATCGGGTGTAGGACGCTGACCGGGTGACAGTGTTAAGTGAATATCGGCTTGTGCAGGGGAACTGACCGGACCGTAGCTCAGACGAAGAAGGCACAAAGACTGCATGAGAAAAGCAGACGCCACGAAACGGAGTATCAATCAGAAACACGAAGGTCAAATCGAATGAAGTCCGAGATTCAGGTTTAAAAGCTGGTTCACACACACTTTACGTATAGGTTTAATTTGCACAATCAGTAGCTAACCATAGATGAACTGACGATTATATAAATCGTTTCACCCCGTTTGCACATATTATACTAGTAGAGCTTTTAGAATAGGACTGACTGTTGACCTGCACGAACAACATTCAATGGGTATCTGGAGACAAGCGAAATGGCGAACCGGACAGACAAAAAATCGTACTTTAGCACCGAGAGTGAACCATTTATGCGCCGCATCCCGATCTTGCATCCAACGCAACTGTAACAAACCACGATGAGCATAGGCCAAACCAGAGTCCGGTGCCAATTCGATAACCTTGGCGAACTCCTCATCACTCGCACTGAGATCGCCCCGTTCCGTGAGAATCTGTTATAGCGGTGAGAATGCCAGAA